GTGTTAAACCATGAGAAACCACCTGCCCCCATGATCCCATTAACTCCCATGAGGCCCCACCTCCGACATTGAGGATTACGATTCAACATGAGATTTGGATGGGACACAGATCTAAACCACATCTGAGTTAGTCCCAGGGGATGGGCAAGAGGAACAGGCCACAACCCTGCAAGGGGCAAGGAGGCCACAAGAAAAAGTAAAAAGAACTCCGGGCAGGGGTTAATCTATCTGATTCTGAGTCCTTGCATGCCATTCAATGGCTGTGAGATCCTGAGTAAGTTACTTCCCTATCTGGCCCTTAGTCTTTCTCCCTCTGCCAAATGAGGAAGATGGGATCAGGGCCCCTGGGGTCCCTCCAGCTCTGCTGTCTAATGTTCCAATGCTGCTGCTGGTGTTGGATGCACGTGGAGCCACCGAAGGCCGGGTCTCTTCCAATTAGTAAAATGAAGGTGCTAATGAAGATTGTTCTGGTACCTAGCTAAGGGAGCACAGAGCTGGGTTTGTGGATCAAACTGAAGAATGCTGGGGACAATAGGAGAAAAGCAAGTGCAAGTGTGAAGGTCTCCATGTTATCTTTGATGGTTGGCACACACCTAGTAGCATTTACCCCCAAATTCAAAGTAACCAAATGCACCTTGTGGTGCTGGAGACACTTAGTCTCTTAAACTCCCTTCACTTCAGCATCCCTCCAAGCACATCTTGCTCCTTCCAACTAACCAGCCCACCTTTCTTCCAATCTAGAACTCAAGGCCTCACCTGTTCTAAGCAAATGGATTCATTGCCTTTCAGCATCTGTCTTAAAGCCAAGAAACAAGGACTCACATTCACTTTATCAGAAAAGCCCAGAACCTTGGTCACTTGTCGCTGCAGTTAAACGCTTCCATGCTGCCAGGACCAGAATTCTGCCACAAGCCACACCAGACGCCCCTGCAGGGTAAGCCATACTCTCGCATCTCACAGAACTCAGGGCTGCCAGTCCCTGAGACAGCGCCCTCTTTCTGCTTTTGGACCTTAACTCTCCATTTTCAAGGAAACCAGATTTACTCTTTCAGAGTAAATTTACTCTTTCAGACCTTAAATTTAACGTATTCTCTCCAGCTTACAGGTGACAAATTGTCAAGAGTCAAAAACTGAGTGACATTTTCTGAATTCCAACCAAAAGATTTAACAATGTCCATGAATACAGCACATTTTTATTATAAAATTTTCCCCTATACATTATCTTCCTCGAAGTTTACAACCAGCCTATGAGCTGAGAATGTTATAATCCCCGTTTCAGAGATGACCTTCGGAAAGGTGAAGCAACAGGTCTTAAGTTCCAAAGCTGGGAGGTCGCAAAGCTGGGTCTTGACTCCATGACTTATGAGAGTCAATCCTGTTCTGGCCCGACACCATGGGCCCCTCTGATGTGTCATTGCTCAGTAACTTGCACCGGGAAACTGAGGAGCGAATTTCAGGCCAATGAAGTATCCACGAAACTTCCTTTTTCAGATCCCCCACCAAGCAGTACCCTCGCTGTCTGGAGGGCCGTCCAGCCTTCCAGGAAGCCAAATGCAGCAAAGCAATGAACATGGACTGGATTTGAACTCTGGTCCTAACCTGATTAACTGCCTGATGTTAGACAAGCTCCTTAAATGCTTTGAGCCACAGTTTTCTTTTCTGGAAAATGGCAACGATAAACTCTTACCATGCATAGAGAAAAATGTACAAAGATGTTGGTCACAATCTTGTTTACTATAGTAAAAACAGGAAACAATGTAATTATACATCAGTAGGAGACTGAACAAATAGGCTGATGTTTAGTCATAAGATGGAATACTCTGCCACATTTAAAATGAACAAACTAGATAGATAATAGATAGATAATAGACAGAGATAGATAGATAGATAGATAGATAGATAGATAGATAGATAGATAGATAGATAGACAGATAGATAGAGATGATAGATACAATTAGGTGGATATATCTAACAACCCAGGAGTGAATACAGCAAAATATAGTATATGGCATGTAGCCCATATTTTAATGTTTCTGTGTCTATCTACTAAAAGAATAAAAGTATGGTTGTGAATGATATTCAACAACCTACTGATATTATTTCCTCTGTGGAGGGAAAAAAGTAAAGGCACATGAGTAGAAACATTATGTTTCTGATATAAGCAGAACATGATTGCCTTTAGGTCCAGTTCATGTCTCTAGTAAAGTTTCGGTAATTTGGGGTTTTTCACGCTGAATCCTATTTTAGATGTACCATGAAAGATCAATATTTAAAGGAACCTGTGATAATTTCAGCCTTAGCAAAGAATCCTTCTGTTATGTAGTCAGCCCCTGATTCTGTCTATAGCTTAGACTAATAGTTCAAAACTGTTTTCCAAAAGATACTCATTCCAAAAGATACTCAATTCCAAAAGATACTCATTCCAAAAGATACTCATTTCCAAAAGATACTCAATGTATATTTAGTGAAGGCAAACTGTGCCAGTCACTGGGCTAAGAGAGGCATACAGAGATAAATGAAATAAATATGGATCCTGCACTCTGAAAGCTTATAGTTGGGGAAAAAATTAACAAGTAAATTATGCTAAATTCTGTGAAAGAAATGAATACGGTGTTATAATTTTATTTATTAAACACATATATATGATTTTAGGTGGATAAATCCCAAAAACTAAGAGTGAATAAGGCAAAATGCAAACAATAGGAGGTGTATTATATAACATATGGTAAAAATCTCATATTTTAATGTGGCAGAGCCTCAGTTGTCTATTGTGTATAATAAACTACCTGAAAATTTAATGTCTTAAAATAGCAACTTTACTATGTCTCACAGTTCTGTAGGTTGACTGGATGGTTCTGCTTTCTGAGGTGTTGATTGGGGTGTGGAGATGGTTGGAAGGTCCAAAGTGGCCTCAGCCATAAGCTGGGCAGTTAGTGCTGCCTGCCATCTGGGACCTCACCTGGGTCTACCATCCAGGGGCCCCAGTTCTTGCCCACAAACGCCTACTTATGAGGCTGCCTGAGCTTCACCAGCATGGTGGTTGGGTTCAAGAAGGAATGTCCCAAGTAGAAAAGATGGAAGCTTTGTACCACCTAAGGTCCAGCCCCAAAATGACACTGGGTCACTTTTGCCACATTCTATTTATTAAAATAAGTCATGGGCCCATCCCAGATTCAAAGGTACGGAAATTCGGCTCTACCTGTTCAAGGAAAGACATACAAAGAATTGATGGCCACCTTCAGTCCACCACCCAGAGGTAAGGATCGCTTGTACTTAAGAAACACTGGGTACCATGTCTTTTTCTTAGATACTAACCATGCTTATTATCAAAATGAAGTTTCTAAGAAGTCCTGAAGTAAAGACCGTTATTTTACTTACCTTTATACAAATATGTTTCACTTATTTCAACCTGTATATATTTTTTACTTTTATAACCCAGTGTTTTCCAAAGTTAGTTGACCAACGTACTCTTTTTATTCACAGAATGCCTAGAACTAGCATTTTTGCACTCAGTTTGAGAAATGTCTGTTTTAAATGAAATAGATTTTTGTAGTTTTGAGTTGCTTAAAGCAGGGTCCAAATGACAGGTATCTTGTGTTCCTTGGAGTAAAAGTTCTTCTGTATAAATCAGAAAAATTAATAAACACTGCGACACAGTCTGCATGACAAAGCCCAGACCTGAGACAGGGAGGGGCCTTCAGCAAAGAGGGAAGGAAGGGGATCTGGGTTTTGTCACCTGCTCAGGCCTCCCCGGACTTTCAGCATTTCTCTGTTAATGCTTCTGGCCTAGAAATGACAAACTCTAGAATTTAATTTGCATCTGGAATAAAAATCTACGAGTAAAATGCCCTCAACATGTAATGCTACAACCACCTGGACAATTATTGGAGATGAACTGCTGTGAGTCACAGGGAAGACCACTGTACCCCTCTTGAACGCAATCCAGCATCCAGCAGACAGGCTGTGATGTTCAGCAGCCTCGGCGGCTGTGTTACAATTGAATTACAAGGGGGGAAACAGCTCTGTGCTGATTTCATAATTATCATGATCTACTATTATGATCCATCACCAACGGAGCAGTCGGCAAAGCCGCAATAAATCATCGTTATTTATATTGCAACAAATCACATGGAAGTATCATCGAGAATCATAATTCACACTCGCTTCAGATGGTAATTACCTATATATGACTGTCTAGGTATGTCATGAAAGTAACACAAGGAAAAAAAATTACAACCCGTGCTGTCTTGAAGACTTGGTTTCTCTAAACAAGCTTTCAAGCTTTGCAAGGAAGAGAGCCAAGTTTTGCTATTTCTTTCCCCCAATATCTTTTCTGGGTTTTAAGGGATCACATCAGAAGTGAGCTCAGTTCTAGGATCCACCTTTAAAATGAACACTGGCCAACATTACAAGCTCTTAGACTTGACAATATTCTTGTGAAAAACAGCTACAAAGATTGGGAATATTTATCCTGGTGGAAATATGACTTGCAGGAACGAAATATTTGGAGGACTGTCCCACAACTGTGCTGCCTCTAGAGGAGTTAAGCTTTGTCTCCACCGGTGTGCAAGTAGGGACTAGACAGGATTATGGCTCCAGATGAAAGCTGGGTTAGATAAAACAGTTTCACATATTTTTTAGCCACCACATTCTCAGAATCAGTAACAGTGCTGTGCTGGCCATATTGGAGACTGAGGAAAAAGGAAACACCAACAATACTGATATCTTGTCTTCACTTAAAATATTACAACAAAATTGTGATATTTTGTTCATCTTTTTGCATTAATTTTAATTTTAAAAAATATTGGGATAAAGTATTACTTATCTAAATTACTGGTTTTGAGGTGTTCCTTTAGATTTTGCAACCTAGATGAGTGCCACAGGTATTCATGCTAGTCCCACCCTGTTGAATTTTCTCAACAGTTCCATAAAGTAGATATGATTATGATCCCTACTGTAGAGATGAGAAATCTGAGGCCCTGGCAGGTTAAGTGACTTACCTAAGCCATGCTCTGGACAGCCCTGAAACTTGTTAGAGTAAGAACAACTCACAGACTTCTTTTGTCTCCTCCTTTACTCCTACACTACATTGCTGAATTAGAGTGATTTTCAGTCCGAAGGAAGAGACCTACAGTAACAACGGACCATAAATTAGAGGAAGAGATTGGCCTTATGTGCAGCCCACTTCATTATTCACCATAGAGCAGGAACGCTTAACAAAGGGTCTACCACCTTTACAGGGTCCAACAATGAGCAACTCTCCCAGTGTTATCTAAAAAGGTGTGTGTGCATGTGTGTGTGTGTGTGTGTGTGTGTTGGCCAGAGGGGGTCTACAGATGTCATCAAATTCTCAAAGTGATCCTTGACTTCCAAAACTTTAGAATCACAGCTATAAGAATTTGGATAACTTTCACTATGAAGTCTTACATTAAATGATCTGGTTGAATTGTATCTATCACAACCAAGGTGTCTCCAAGAGAGCAACATGCAGTTATTGGAACCAAATATTGTTCCTCTCTACAAGCTTGGTTGGGCATAAGTTATTAACAGTCCCCCAATAAAATAACTTTAGAGATCACCTAGTTTTAAAACCCAATCTTAAATTCATTTTATTTATATGTCAATAAAATGAGGCTCAGATAAATGGCGTGACCTGTCCCCTGTCCCAGCTGGGTCATCACAGGGCTGAGTTAAAGCTAAAACTAGACCCCTGAGCCCCCTTCTCCATTCAAGCATCTGGTTTTCTCTGGATGAGCACACCTAGGACCCAGTTAACTCAGGTGTGACTGACCGACAATACTGGCATGCTCTAAGGTCTGAGCCACTGGTGCACATAAGCTAATGGTTTATGTACCTTAGCCTCAACTCACCTGGGACTCAAACCCTAAGCCTCCACTTCTTTGCATCTTCTTTCAAATATAGACAATTGTGAAGTTTTTGTGAAGACCTTCTGCACTAAACCAGAGACTCCCTTTAGTCTGGGATTTGGAACCAACTACCCTGTAACTGGCACCACTCCCCAGAATCTTATGACTGCTCTCTCAGGGCCCAATTTCTAAAGAATTTCTCTCTGAAGCCAACATGTATAGTGGTGATTATTCTTTAAAAATAAAGAGAATCTGGCTTCAGAGAGTGCACGTGAAGTCTGGTCTTAGAAATGGCAAATGATCTCATTTAGAAATAAAATGGCTTGATAGCATGGTTTTCCAATAATTAAATGAAGGAATGCAAAAGAAACAGAGCTGAAGATGGCAGGACTGGACAGATAAGCTTTAATGGGGTCTCAGGCCCCAAGAAAGAAAAACGATTTAACAAGGTAGAAAAAAGGTATCAGACAAAAATCACTAATAAACATTATCAACAATTTGAAAGTGGTGAAGTTCCCATATACAATAGCCTGTCATGTGTTCAAACTCATTGTGAGCCAAAAACTTCTGGGCACACTGTGGAACACACACAGAGAGAAGAAATAGCCACTGTTGGCCAGGTGCAGTGACTCATGCCTATAATCCAAGCACTTTGGGAGGCCAAGGTGGGTGGATCACCTGAGGTCAGGAGTTCAAGACTAGACTGGCCAACATGGTGAAACCCCGTCTTTACTAAAAATGCACTGTTGGCTGGGCATGGTGGTTGGCACCTGTAATCCTAGCTACTAGGGAGGCTGAGGCAGGAGAATCGCTTGAACCCAGGAGGCAGAGGTTGCAGTGATCTGAGATCATGCCATTGCACTCCAACCTGGGCAACAGGAATAAAACTCAGTCTCAAAAAAAGAAATAGTCACTGTTCTAGGAGAGTTGACAATCTAGTTGCTTTGTTAAGCATAAAGCATAGCAATCAATCAGTGAATAATGTGACATACTACATAAAAATGGTGCCATTATCTTGGAGAAGAGAGCTACCAGTATGAGTTGAAATAGCAATGGGAGGTAAAGCCTCCAATTAAGTAAGCCCTAACTATAATCTGCTAGGAAGGTATTTACCACCTCCCGTCCTGTGCGTGCGCCTCTGTACTCTATTACAGTCCGAAGTTGTCTTCCAATATCAGGTTAATTCAAAATGAACTTGTTGTACCAGTTGGTGCAAAAGCAATTGCAAAACTGCAGTTTTTATATATCCAAAGGCCAGAAAATGGACAAATATGTTACAAGGCTATGGGTATTCTACTAGGTAGGACTGCATGTAGATTAAAATACAACATTAGGCCTTTTTTTGAGAATTGTCTATTCGTGACCTTTGCTCATTTATTAATGGGATTTTTTTTTTATTTGGTAGAGATGGGAGACCCCTATGTTACTCAGGCTGGTCTGTAACTCCTGGGCTCAAGTGATCCTCCCACCTTGGCCTCCCAAAGTGCTGGGATTACAGGCATGAGCCACTGTGCCCAGCCAGTTTGATTTTTTTAATTATTGAGTTATTTGAGTTTCTTGTATAGTCTGGAAATTAGTCTCTGGTCAGATAAACAATTTGTAAATATTTTCTCCCATTCAATAGGCTGAAATGATAAATACTTAAAGTGCTAGATACCTCAAATACCCTGACTTGATCATTACATGTTATGCATGTAACAAAGTATCACATGTACCCTAGAAATGCATGAAATATCATGTATCAATTTTTAATGCAGACAAAAATATTAGGCAGTCAGAGGTATTTTGAATTTATTTCTCAGATCTTTGAGATGATAAAGGAAAATAAAAAGTCAGCTGTATACCTGGAATAGAACATTGCACCAACATATTTCTTTTTTCCTTGTCTTATTTTTTTTCTTTTTTTTTCTTTTTTTTGAGAAAGGGTCTTTTTCCCATTGCCCAAGCTGGAGGGCACTGGCATGATCATGGTTCACTGAAGCCTTGACTTCCTGGACTCAGGTGATCCTCCCATCTCAGCCTCCCAAATAGCTGGAACTACAGGCGTTCACCACCACATCCAGTTATTTTTTGTTTTTATATTTTTAGTAGAAATGGAGTCTCACCATGTTGTTCAGACTGGTCTTGAACTCCTGTGCTTAAGTGATCCTCCCTTCTCAGCTTCCCAAAGTGCAAGGATTACAGGCAAGAGCCGCCACACCCAGCATATTTCTTGAATGTGCCTTCTTACATTCACACCTAGAAGTAGAAATGTATAAACAGGAGGCTGGGAGAGCCATAGACACCAGAGGAGAGCTGGAGCTACCACAGCTGGAGGAAAACTAGTAAACCGGGAGGAGGATACATTGGAAAAAAATGAAGAATTCTAGAGGAGAGAAAGAGTTAAAAAGACAGAGAAACTGAAAAGGGAAGAGAGGTACAGAGGGGAACTCAACAGGGCATGTGCTGGGCTCAGGTCTTGGTAGTGAGGTCACTGTGACTTCACAGAGCACAAACCAGAGCAGGGATTGATTGGATCACCACCACAGACAGTTTCATCACCCTCTGCTGTCCCCTCTACCATGCCATCTTGCCCCCATATAATGTAAATTTTTATCACTAGAAATGTCAACAAGTAAGAGCTTTCTGAACTTCTGTTTTTGTGTCTATGAGGTATGTGCAGCAAAAATGATGAAAACACAATAGCTGAAGTTTTTTTTTTTATTGAGTTGAGTGAGTGCTTTCCATGAAATAACTCATTGAATCCTCCTAGGGATCAACTGAGAGAAGGGGAAAATCACTGCCTCTTTCTCCATCAATAATGAGAAATTGAGACCTCTTTAGTGGGAAATTTTGGGGAAAAGTGTTCACTCTTACAAGAGCCTCATCTAAAAATAAAGAAACAGTAAGATGATGGCCTTGTTTCCCTTCCTTCCTCATCTCTTTCCAAAGCATCCCCACCAATAAAGAAAAACTTTAGAATCCCTATGGCCAAATAAGGAGACTGGTACCAACTTAAAGTCACAATTCAAGCCCCCCGCTCCACCCTGAGCCAATGTAAACATTCCTCTAGTCTGTGAAAGAAACAAACCAACAAATACTCCCTTGATCGAGACATACATACATTGTAAAAATGTCCTTGACATAAACTCAAGTTTTCCTTTACACACACACACACACACACACACACACAGAGAGAGAGAGAGAGAGAGAGAGAGAGAGAGAGAGAGAGAGAGAGACACTCTCCCCTTATTGAATAGGAGTATCCTCCAGTCCTTGAAAATTTACTCTACAGCTCATCTTTTCTAACACCTGATCCTTCCCAGAGTGGTCCTTATAGTTACCTTGCAGATAATGCCAAGACCTTACCAGCCCACTCCAAAGTAGTGTCCCAGTCACCCCATCTCTCTTCCACATCTCAGTATTCTCCACCAACACTGGGCACTGCACAGTCAAAAATGAGTACAGTTCATGTTCCTGACCATTGATCTGCCATCAATTTTTTCCAAGCCCGAGGCATGCGATTATCTGCAAAGCTGACTTACAAGATAAAATCCCCAGGCCTCTCCCCTCCCCCTCCTCCTCCAACAAGCAGACATTGATTTTACACAGAATGTGCATGGCTTTGATGGTGTTATTGCAATCAACATGAAAAATACCACCACAGTGCTTATCCGGACGTCTCAGTTGTTTTGCCTCATAGCACAAGTGATTGTTTAAAGAGGCTTGACACTGTTGGAGTCTTTTGTTTTATGGATTTTGCAAAGCATTGCTCTTTGTCTTTTGGGCTAGCAGAGGAGAGAGCTCTTTTTTCAAGGCAATGGGCAGTGCTTTTAAAAAATAGAATTCAATGTGTGAACTGCTTCGGGGATCTCTTTAGCTCTCACATTTATGTGCAATTTTTCTGAAGGAAAGGCTGCACCTACCTGGTCTGTATCTTTAACTTCATTCCTCTGGCCAGATTACCCTCTGATCCCTTACCCCCATCCGTTCACCATGATGTTCTGCTGTCCCTATTCCATCCTGATCTTAAGCAACTAAACGGACTGTGTTTGCTCTCTCTCAGTTTTACCTCTCTACCTCTCTCTTTCTCTACCTCACAGGTGACCAATTATCTGACTCATCTGATCCCTAGCAAAAGGGAACAAAGAAACTTGGCACAAGCACCATTCACGTGCTACCCCTCCTGTGCAGGCAAGAAGCCAGAGGCTGAAACTCCCCCATCTCTTCTCTGCCTGTAGCAACACAGGCAAATGTACCATTCAGCTCACCCACCTCTGCCATCAG